ATTTTGGAAACAAAGAGAAGAGAAAAGCGATAAAAACTTGACGATGAGTTTTGAAAGGAAGAGAAGGACTATAATTTGGCAAATGAACCCTTGATTTCACACACATCCTGTCAAACTCATTCAAAAACCAATTCCAAGGCCCAGAATATCATCAATTACAATTCCCTGTGACTCTTCTTTGTTCTTTCACCCAACAAATATGTTTTTTTTTTTACTCAAACCCTTCGTAAATCGAATTGTTTTTCTGATCCCTTGAAGTTCGATTTAAAGAGGTTCAACTGCACACTATACTATATACATGTTCCCACACAACGAACAAGTCCCCGAGAAAACTGCGTTCACCTTTTCAAAATCCGGAAATTTCCTTTCCAAATAACCTTGTTTCTTTTTGCACTGCGCTCAATTGTGTAATTTATTTGTTCTACACGTTTCGGAATCGTTGAAAGGCTACAGAAACTGAACTCTCCAGAGCTCAGGACCCGAGATTGTACAAAACTGAGAATCACTTATTTTATGCTTCAATTTTTTATATCAATTTGAACCAGACCTAGAATAATCTACTCGTATGCATATGCATGGGAAAATGCGTATCGTTAAACAAATGTCTCACACAACGAATCGCGTATCGGATAAATTTGCTGTATGAGACACCGAGACGATGAGCTGCCAAAATGAAATCAACGAGCTATTCTAATTCCGAATGCACATTATTACTCTTTCTGACAATCGTCTCGTTCATGTTTTTTATTCCTGACCAATCATCACTGAGGTTTGCCTCGATTTTTTTATTAAAATAATCTCTTCCCCTCGAGAACACATTCCCGAATAACCAGCGTTTCATATTATACGATATTTACGATATTATAATATCGATTTACGATATTTTTCATCGTCAAAGGAAGACACGAAATGAACTTTAAATTATATTTTCGCTGAATTAAATACCTGACAGACAACTCAAGAGGAACCTGTTTGTGATCACTGGGGACATATCGGCAAAGAACTATGTCGCCTCGCAGGACGCTTGGACTATCCAGGCAAATTCCATTTATCCAGGATTTGACACCAAACGATCGTTTCAGCAAAATCTCGCCATGTTGTACCTCGAACCCACTGTCGAATTCTCGCAATACTTCGATTTCATCCCCTTGCCCGCTGACATCCAATTCACTGATGCCTCGTACAGCAAAGAAAACATCGTCGGCTTCGGTTTCGGAAGCATCACGTCCACTTCAACCGGTTCGTACAAACCTTGAGATTGAAAAAAATTTAATTAAGATTCAGGGGAAAATAATTGAACTTTGCAAAACAGAGGTTGAAACAAAGAATCCGTTCAAAATATACGCGGATCAAGTTAATGTGATGCTGCGGCAATTGACAATGCCGGTCGTTGACATTTCGGTTTGCCAAAAAATTTACAATTACACGGCAACGGATGTGGAACTGTCGTCGCAGCTTTGCTACGGAGGTGAACCCAACAAGGGAGTTTGTCTGGTTAATATTCCTTCATCTTCTCCCTATAAGAATTTTCTCAGACACTTTCTCACCAAAGATCAACAAAATTAAGATCACCTTTTTTTTTGCGCGAAGAAGCTTTTTTGCAGAGGAAACCATATAGTTCCATCCATTCCCGTTTTCACCAATTAAATTGAAAATTTTCCATAACGTTTCTTAATTGAAGAGAGATGAAGGAGGCCCGGTGACGTGGATAAGGCCAAGTGACGGCACCAGGATAATCATTGCAGTCAACACCAACAAATACGGTTGTTCCAAAGGCCTCGCCAATATTGGTACGAAAATCGCTGGGAATCACTTGCGATGGATACAAGCCATCATTAATACCACAGTGACAATCCCGAAAAGAAATAACCACAGAGGATTTTTCGAATGGCTCCCCGAATTTATTGGAAGCCCAATCCGAAATAACCCGTCAGAAAACCAGCAAACCACGAACGGGACTTGAAAACGCAATTTTTTTTTCTTTCACATTCATCGGAATTTCCGCGAAAGTGCTTTCATGAATTTCGCCCTCAATCCAGTCTGCCAGCGGATGTTGGAAAGAATGAATTCTTCAGCTGTTTGCATCAACAAGTTTGCTCCGTGCAAGGCACTCTTGTTCGTTTCTGAAAACTTCTTGATCTGCAAGCAATCATAGAAAATTTAGCATAAAAAAATACGAATTTCGAGAGGAAAATGAACCTTTTCGATTTTTTGCGTCGAAGACAATCCTTTTGCCACCTGCACGAATAATCTGCCCACATTCAAACGCCCAGTACCAAATCTGGAATTGAAAAATAAATAACTTAATTTCCCACAAATGAACGTAGATCGACAAGATTATCATAAATTCTTGTAAGTTGATTCCATCAAGACAGAGGCAGTCCGTTAACAAAGAGTAATTTCCAACAAATTACATGATCTTTATTCTTTCTGTAACCTTCAATATTTTGACAACTCAAGCTGTGCAATATAAGGAAAAAACGGTGGAAATACTAACAAGGTTAATTTTTTTCGACATAATGGATTTTTTTTTCGTCTTCAAACCCATATAGTGTCAAAAAGGAAAAATCGAAAGTAAACCGCTGGTCAAAGACGACCGGCATTTTCGAGGTAATCACCATTAATTCTTGAATTTTCAATTGTTGAAGTATTTTTCGGTGAAAACCGAAGACTAAAGGTGTGCCCGACTGTTTGAAAATAAATTCCAACTGGCGCACGACGTAACCTAACTAACCTCTTGAAACGAATAAAACTACATTAAGACCTCATCTAACTTTATCAAAAACCTAACCCAAACTAAATAGGGACCTAGAAGATTGATAAAAAAAAAGGTCATGTATCCTCTCGTAAAGTCCTCTCCAAAGAAAATTATCGCCATTTTCATAGTTTTGTTTCTTGATGCAGAAAAAAGAATCAATATCATTTCCTCACAAGCTCTGAACACGTGGCCATTCATCAGTGACTAGATCCAACATGAGGTTTCCTCCAACGTTGCTCCTGGCTGCAATATTTAGCAAGGCAGTCATTGAATCAGCTTTCGGTATCAAAGGATTAGAATCGGTTCCAGTTCCTCCTTTGATGACGAGTTCGGCGTATTCCGATAAAAGGGACACATTTTGCGTGCATGCCAAAGCACTGAGAATCAAGTCCCTTTCCGTTGCAACAGAGGTTCTGGAAAGATGTTTTGCTGCGAAATCCCACTCGGCTTTCCCGCCCAAATTGATGCCACAACAGTAGACCATTTCTTTCATGTTTGGATCAATGCTGAAGGGAAACAAAAAACAAATCAGACAGTTCAATCAACTCTCGGATTTGCACAAACGTGATAAAAAAAACGCATTTCTCACGCGAAAATTACAAGCAAAAATGGTGCACAATACATTCGAAAGCGACTTATATTTGCACAGTGAGTGTAAATCTGACCAAAGCAATCATCAGAATAAAATAAATGAGCCTTGAATAAAAGTCCAACACAGAATTCATGTCCTTTAGAAATATGATTTCTCTTACTGATTCTGAAGAAATTTAGTGTGAGTGAGAGTCTTTGACATTCGCAGGCGAGCTAATTTTCTTTTCCGAATCGGAAGAAAAATTACAAATACCGTATAGACAATTAATCGATTTCTTTACTCGAGTAAATGCGATAAATCGAATTCCTCACATGGGTTTATCAGGGTTTTCGGGGTCATAGGATGTCATCCAACGACTGAATTCGTCTCGAGCAAACTTCACAGATTTCTCGTGGCCTAAATCACAGCCCCACTTTGCGAGTAAGGTTTCGAGCCAAATGCTAGTAACGTTTTCATATTGGCCCGACGTCTCATTGCAGCAGGTTTGTCCATTTCTGTTTTCTTCCATTGAATCCAAGGCCGGCGTCAGAGTTTTCTTCAGATAATTCTGCATGTAAAAATAATGGCTTAAATTGCATGAACAATCAGGAAACTCCAGAATACACTGTTATTGATTTAATTGGCTCCATGCACTCACCAAGAGATCATGAGAAACATGAAAATGGCGTAATTTTTACGCCATTTTTTTACAGGTACAATATCGTTTAGCATGAAATTGAAGTAATCCTGAGTTCCTGACAATTCCTGCTTACAGCTTCCTGAAATTTTCAAAATGTAAAATACTGCACAAGAATATGCTAAACTATGTTTTCTTTTTCTTTTCCTCCATATTTTGAAAATTCTTGAATTTTAGTTTAAAAAGTCTAAAATTCACAAATTATTTGGATCAAATAATTTTGTTGCGTGAAAACATTTTGTGATGTTACGGTAGTCTTTTTTTTTACCCCTGAAAATTCTCGTTTGCAGATTTTTCGTTATGCGGAAAATCACTGCAAAGCTTACTAATCCATCGGAACTTCATTAGAATGAATATTGCTTACTCTAAGAGTTGAAATTTAAAAATTAAAATTACATTTGTTGCATCGATGCTGAAATTTCGAGACACGCAAGGGTAATTTTACATAGAAAAGCATACTATTTCTTCCCTCGGATGAATTACTCACCTGGCCAAGCATACAGTCCGACCAAACCTAAGGCAAACCCCCCCCCCCCCCCAACAGAATTGAATGTAACCTGAAGTAACGTTAGAAACCTAACCTCACTTCGTAACCGCACTTTCGCAGAAACTCGCCCAAAAATGGAGACCACGAAAATGCCAAAAAACCCAGTACTGCATTTTAATAGCGATCTATTTCTAAAACATTGATATATAACTGCCTGATACATTTTAAAATCATCTTTCTCTGATGGTTGGCAGACAAGCATGAGTAATCCGACATTATTAACGCACCTTGAGAAGATTCAAGTCTCCGGCGTGTTCCTCCTCGCCATCATCGAGCATGTCGATGAAAAAATTGGCACTTTTCAACGCAGCCGACCACGGCATGTACGACGTTTCCGCGGGCAAATAATCCATCAAATCAACGGCTAAATCGTACTCCAAATATCCAGCACGGGCTAGCATGAACGCATCGTCCAAGATTTGCGCTCTGTTCACGGGATCGATCACCTCCGCGTTTTCCTTCAGCTGTTCCGCCAACAATTTCCAGTTCAAATCATCATAGTTGACTCGATAGAAACCCGTGTGCCCCACGTTCACAACTATCCACTCATTCACTCCAAATTTCTGCGACGACTTGTATTCACTGTTTGGCTCGAGCCAGGCGTCTGCACGAGCGTCTTTCCAGTCGCGGGTACTATTGTTTCGGGTTCCGGAAGCAAAATTCAGCGGAACCCACCAAGATGAAACTGAGTCCCGGTCCTTCTCAGGTGCTCCCAATGGATAAAGGAAGAATCTCTTTTGTGAAACGTGTAGCTCGTGCCCATCGCCAGAGTCTTTCCTCGCGACAGTCACAACAGGATAGCCTGGAAGAAGCACATTTCAAAAGTCAATAAACTTATTTGTAATACAGTGGTATTCCGGATAACTGGCGCCTCGCATAATGGACTTATTACACAAATGAAAAGGGTTGTCTCGATTTTTGCTTCGGACAGGGGACCCTGCTATGCATAAACGACTACAAAAATCATGCAAAAAATCTTTCTTCACGTCGCAACAGGATAGCCCGGAAGAAGCGGATTTTAAAAGTCAATAAGGTACATTTATTCGCGAAACAGTGGTACTCCGGATAACTGGCGCTTCGCATAGTGGATTTTTCACACGAACGACTATGGCTGTCATCGATTTTTTGCTTCAGAAAGTAGACCCTGCCATGCATAAAAGGCTGCAAAAATATCGTATTCCCTCGAAAAATCGAAGTTTTTTCGGGAAATATGATCACAATCATTATTATTGAAGTGGATAACCGCTTTTTTGATAATCTTAATGGCGTTGAACAGCATTCTCACTTTTCCCGACTGTTTTTTCCCCAACTTTTTCTGCTTTGAATTATACTTTGAGCATATATTTTTCAGTTCATTCGATCAAGAATGTATTCAAGACGTTTCCTACACAGCCTGTCAATATAACTCCACATCGTTCAATTCAGAGACTTCATTCTGCTTTGAAACCAAATAACCCTTTTTTAGCTTTACATTCTCTTCAGATCTCTTTACCGAGGCACAATCTGTATTCCTTGATCAGTACTGAAGAAATACTCAAAGCAAAGGGCAAAAAATCACCTGTCTGAAGCGTCCACGAGTCCATAATATCCTTCAACAAAGCATTTTTCGGTAACCGTGAACTGTCAGCTTTCGACAAATGAGTCCACAGGTCATCTTGAGATGCATTTCCGTAGGCGAACGCCGCCAAATAGCCAGACAAGGCGCGCAAAAAGGCGTCCCTGCCGAGGACAGCGACGAGCATTCGAATCAACGAAGAACCCTTTCGATACGAAATATCGTCGAAAAGTTCCATAATTTCGTTGGTGGTCGTTACGCCGGTTTTTGAAATTGAATGCGAGGCCATGAGAGAATCAGTAACCAGCACTCCACGCAGCATTTCCGAATAGCAGCTTTCACCAACATTCCATTTCGTCAAAATCTGCACACAAAAAAAGCATGCACTCAAGCTGTATAATCCTCGGCAACATTCCCCTGGTTTTTCTTTCTTTCAAATTCTGCGAGACACAGCCGAAAAAAAAAGATCAAAAAGAGGTGAATGAAACAAGGCCCGCCCATATATATAAATAAATATTTTTTTCCAAGATAATTCAATCCGAAGCAGGAGTAAAGCAGACGAGGCTGAGGTACAAGAAACTTTTTTGGGGGAACCTCACACGGAAACCTATGGGAAGCACGAGAAAAGATTGACGATCCTTTTAGCATGACATTTTTTCCCAACAGTTTTTCGCTACATTCAGAAACACCACATAAATTTAGTATCATTTTATAGATATTGGCATCCAAGTCATCGTTTCTTCATTGGGATAATCCCTAGTACGGGCATTATTTCCCATGAACAATTCACGGCAAACGAGATGCAATTATGACGCATGATTTCCAACATTTCACGTAACTTTTCTTTTAGTTTTATTCAAGTGAAAGACCACACAGAAAAATCAACCAATGCACTTTCATAAAAAAAAAGATTATCTTCGAACAAAAATTAATTTTATTACACAGAAACGTAGCGGGGCCCATTTATTGACCTTTCCAGAATAAAAAATCATGTTCGATTTCTATGCCTATTTCATAACTTTTTCAACTATTCTGGTATTTCACATACCTCTTGAATCGGAATGACTTCCATGTAGGACGCAAATCCTTCATTCAACCAAAGATCTGTCCACCACGAAGGCGTGACAAGGTTTCCAAACCACTGGTGCGCGATTTCGTGAGAAACAGTCGACGCAAGCTGAACCTGGTCCTTCGCTGTCGACACAGCGGGATCGAAAAGCAGACTCTGCGCCCTTAATTTGAAAGGGAAATTATAAAACCGACTCTTTTAATCCACGAAGAAAAAGAAAATGACAGTACTGTACCTGTAGGTAATTAAACCCCAATTTTCCATGGCCCCATACGCCAAATCGGGAGCTACGAATAGGTCCATTTTCGGTAAGGGATAACGAATATCGAACAGCTTTTCGTAGAACCTGGAATGCGTCAATAATGAAATTTCATTATCCTCTCGTTGTGGCTGCGACTTTCTGCGACACTTTCACAACTATTTCACATTTTAAACCGGAAAATGGGGTTCTTTCCCATAAATTAATGTCTACATTTTCTTGTACAACGGAACAGCCGGCATTTTTGTTTTGATTCAAAGTTCAAACAGAAATTGATAGCGAATGAACTATTGAAATTGAAGGAAGTGTCTGAGAAGAAGCGATTATAAAAAAGAACTCAGTGTTCCATTAAAATTCTTTCTTGAACCAAATCAATAATCGTTTCGTTACTTCAAAAATGAGCATATACAGTACATTCAAAAGAATCCCGGGCGCAAAAGGGAAGTTAGGAGTGAACTTGAATTCTACTTTCAGCGACATCTATCCTCACTCGAATAATCAATCCTTGTGACGGAAAAAATCGACAACGTTCGCTGCTAGCCTTGAAGAGATTCGAGCGTGGAAGGAAAAACGTCTCTGGAACGATCTATTCTCGCACTACTCAGAAGGTTCCTCACTCACTTGAGCACAACAGGGGCAATGTCGATTGCCAACTTGGCCTGACGTTTCAAGGACGGCGGCATCCAAACCCGAACCAGTGTCTGGTTGTCGGTCGTCGCAGTTACGCTTTGAAATTCCGAAACCGTGACAGCCAACAAATACGTGGACATTTTCGGCGTCACTTCGAACTCGTCTTCCACAACTTCTTCTTTCGACTCGAGCAAACATCCACTGAAACGGCAAAAAAAATTTTTAAGATCAGCAATTAGCAATTTGAATGATTTATTGTAATGGAGAAAACGAACTCATCACATGGTCGGGTCGCTTTCACCGGCATGTTGCTCAAGGCTGTCATCGAAGCTAGGCGTTGTACTTTGATCAAGAACTCGGCTTTCATGTCGGGTTCGTCGTAGCAAGGAAACATTCTTCTGGCTTCCGTCGGCCAAAGATGAGTAACCCCGAGATGCCTGTCGAGTTTATTCAAGGCAAAATAAAGTTCATATGCAATACATTCATCCACAGTCAATTCAAAAGTGCCATTCCCCATAATAAGTTCAGCTACACCAGAACAAAAAAAGTACATCATCTACTCACAAAACCTGCCATTATCAGAATGCAAACCTACTCGACTTCAGCGTATAAATTGTGAACATAATTATTCTACCATTGACAATTTTTCACGACTCTCGATAAGGAATTTCGAAACTTCGGGAAAATTAATGCCGAGAATATTCAAGATGATCACCAAAGGTCATGTTAGATGCTAAAAATCGTCGGCTTTCTGCTCAATCAAGCGTACAGTATACCTGTGTATAATGTGCAATGTACTCTTTAGCGGTAACCCAGATAATAAACGCATCACGTGCTGAATATTTTGCAAAATCGATTGGGTTTCCCATGAATTTTTTTTTTTTGCGCTCAGGATAGTGTACGGCATAAAAAGTTATCATCTTTCAAGAATAATTATAGTAGATTAAAAAATTAATCTAAAAAACCACGTTTTCAAAAAGCAAAAAATAACCTTAAACGTGGTGCGCATCTATTTCATTTGTATTTCACTTCTTCCCATCAATCTCCATGCGCACCACGTTTAAGGTTATTTTTTNAATATTCTTAAATTGATTTTTTCACAAAAGATTGGATTGTCATCAGTTTCTAAGCTATCCTGAAAGTTTCAGCTTGCTAGCTAGTCTGGAAGTGAGTGAAATTTGAGTTTCAAAATTTGATCCAGACAAACAGACAGACAGACAGACAAGAAAAGTGAGTTCATAAAAACGTGGTAAAATACAAATGATGATGCAAAATTCGGCTGCCAGCTACATTATTTTCCCAAGGGAATGACAGCTTTTATACTCATTCTTAATAGGAACAAATGAAAAAAAAATGATAATGAAAAAAGTTCCTGCTGTCACTTTGTGAGAGATGGCAATCAATTAATTTGATAAACTTCAATAGCCCCCCTTCTCGGCTTCCAATAAACAAGTCAGGTCAAAATCACACCATCATTTTTAGCAGTTTAAAATGTTTCTCAAGATTCCAAATCTAGTCCATCAACGGATACACTACTGTATTTGACAGACTGATACAATCTTGAGCACAGTTAATTATAAGGTAATAATAGGACTCTCTGTACAACAAAATTCAAGGGACCAAGAAAAATTGGCTGTGGAGAGAATTTTGCTGTAGAGAAACCGTATAACATGAAAAGAGAACTCTATGGTACCCACTAAAAAAATCGTTGTAGAGTCCACCAGCATTAAACTAATTATTCGACATCCACTCACTTGGCATTCCCATCCTCAGCGTAAGTCGCCCGATAGAAGCCCACAAGCTTCTCGGAAAACTGTCCCGAAAAATCCACAGCGACACGAAACCTCTCTTCCGGTTTCAACTTCCTCGGCAAACTAAGCCTCACAGCCTGGTCCTCTGCCGACCGCTCGATCCCAGTCTCAAAAAAATTTGCACAATCGTTGCTCGAAGACACGGCAACCCGATCCCACACCAACATGGGATCCGAATGAAACACCACTTCCGCAGTTTCCTTCACACACACCGCGTCTATTTGCACAGAGCCGCTCAACTTGGATCGGTTCAGGTCCGGAGCAAGAAGCACTTCGTAACGCAACGGAAGCGTGTCTCGCGGAAGTCGTCCATTGCGAAGCATCGAAGACTTGGCCATGACAAAGTACCAAAGGATCACACCGAAAGAAGCTGCGGAAAGACCGACAGCAACAACTAAACGTGGCAGCGAAGCACATCATCATCAACACGACGAGGATACGGTAAAAGAGAGCTAAGCGATTTTCGACACTTGATCCTGCCACAACTTTTTTGTTGTTGACTACAATACAGTCACGGATGGGCGAAGTAGGATGTTGTTATTTGAACGGGGCTCTCTGATAGTTCCTCACGCGTGTTCGTGGTCTATAGTTCTATACGAACCAAGCAAGAAAAAGTATATAGGAACAGGTTCGTATGCTTACTCCTTTTTTTTCTCCCCAATAATAAAGGATCAACGTTCCTACGCGCGTTCCACTTCCAGAAGGTTCCACTTGGGTCAGACAGGCCCACACCTTCTTAAAGCATAGCGGGATTGCTTCTCTATCCCTCAAGGCATTCAACAATATACACTTGAACTCTCTATAACTCGAATACCTCTCCATGTTGAATTTTTTCCTAATCCCTGTCTGAATTCTCTGAGAAACATTGAATGAAAAATCGTCCTAAAAGGCTTTCCTTCCTCAAACCTCTGTAAGTCAAGTTTCCTGAGGGACTTTCGGTGATTATTTTAGTAACACGGGGAAAAGAAAAGCAAAAAGAAAATAAACGTAACGATACATTTTTGAAGAAAGTGAAACCCGAATTTGGCAAATGAACCCTTGTCTTAAGTCCAGCATCCTTTCAACACATTTCAGAAACAATTTAAGGCCAAGAATATCACTGTAATTACAATTTCCTACAATTCTTTAATCTTTCCCCTAACAAAAATGCTTATTCCCTTACTCGATTTTTTTTTTTTGCTGGTCTCTTTGAAAATCGATTTAATGAGGTTTGAATCACACTATGCTTCCAAATGGATAAAACGGTAATATAACGTTCATTTCTGACTTTCAAAAAAGTTATTCCGTGAAAAAATAAATAAAGAGGATTGCCAAAAAATTGACAAATTATCAAAAACGGATTTCCCTCTCGAACGGATGCACAAAAAAATAAATTAAATTATCGTTCCCTCAAAAAAAAAGGACGAAAATAATTCTTGCCGGAAGGTAGATTTTATGTTCAGCACGGTACAGTATTTAGTTGAATTTGCAGGACCATCATCTTGACAGGTAATTTTGAAGTTTGTTTTTACCTAAACATGAAAAATGCTGCAAAAGAAAACTTCCCAACTGCTTTACAATATTGTAGTTCGAATTGTGCCAGTTCTTTAAAGATGCGAAGGTTTAGATCTAGTTCATGATAGAAGGAAAGCTGCTTAACGTTTTGCAAATCCGTTTTAAAAGCAGCTTGTATAGTTGTTTTTTCCCCCGAGGATAATTGTTAGAGGAATTATAGGATTCTGGACAATTGATCTCAGGTTCATGAAAAGGCAGTTGGTTTTGCGGAACACAAGAAATGAAACACGTTTACCTTCTTTGCCTTCTAAAAGGATTACAAAATTCAAGAATTCAGAAAACGAGATAATCGAACTGAATCCGAAAAAAGGTGGCAAGTTTTTCTCAGAATTGAATATTGATTGGTCCTGATCGTCACATCAACGAAACTCAACTCATGACATTTATGATCCCTTGAAAAAATTATTCAATTCGGAATATTTTTCAACTAGAAAATCCGCCGTATCACTGGTTAATGAAATGAATGAAACCCACTGACAATGGCCGATTCATTATTATTAATTTAACAAAAATAATATAGGGATTCTTTGTTTCTACCGAGATACGAAATTATGGATGATATCGTCCATTAAAATAGCGCAATTCTTTAGGGAACACTACGGAAGACATTCTCTAAATAAACAGAAGAGAACTACATCTGGTTGTCTTCAAGATGGTTCAATTTAAACAGATGAACTTCAGCCTAATGATTCAGACTTCTTTTCTACAACACAGTATCTCAAAGCACGCAATAGTTTCCACAGATGAAAAAAACGACTCTAGAAAATATGATCAAGTTCCAAGAAAAAATTTTCTCCTTTTCTTGTGCGGCAGAGTTTCTCAACCCTTAGCTCAAAAGAGAGATTTTCTCGTAGTGGCATTTAAAATCAATTTATGTGATGCTACTGATTTTTCCCCCAAAGACCCATGAAATGTAAACTCATCTTGAAAATTAAAATAATTTAGCTGTTCTTGGAATCTCGATGCACTGTACATCTTTTGAAATTTAATCTGCACCAAGCATAGGTTAAGAAATCGTTTCTAATGCTAACATTCCATGACTCATTCCGACAAAATCTCAATAAATATTGCCAATACGACGAGAAAATGCGAATTTTGATAGACGATAAATACAATTTTGGAGCGTTCAAGTAAAATATCCCGCACCAAAAATCGTTAATTGAATACACGTTCGGTTGAAATTTCACACGTCGTCCACGATTCGAGTTTCATAATTTAAAAAATCCTCGCAATAAAATGTTGTAACTTACGAAGTTTGACGCGACGATCAATCACCAAATATCAGCTGCCCGTTTCACAGACTCATCTTTCAATCCAGGCTTGATTTTCTGCAGCTCACGCAAACCCGCCAACACAGTTTCAATATCGGCTTGAACTTCACAGGCACGTTTTCGGAACTGATCACTTTTGGCTTCCAAAAGACCCAGTTTTTCCTCCACAACCTTGTCGGCTTCGTCCAAGGTCAGCTCGACGAAGAACTTTGACCCGACATCGATTAACACTCTGTCGGTACGTGACACAACGGCGCGCATGAAAAACCCACCGCCTATGTCAGTTAACGTTTTCAATTTCCCGCATTCGTTGATTCTAAAGGCGCGAAACGTATCCTGAAGTGTTTTGAGATCCGCGATGTCTTCAGAAACTTTTCTTCGCTCCTCGATCAGATGCCTCAACTGTACTTTGAGCACTTCGTTCAGGAAATGCTCGTACTTCTGGATCTTCTTGGGAATATCTCGGCTTTCTTCTCCAAGCATCGAATTACAACCTGTCCTTGAAGCAATACAGTAGCTCATCATTAGCAAAATAGTTCAACGAATACACAGCATCATCATTCGGCGCCCATAAATTCGGATTTTCTGTCGAACGGAATTCCAATTTTTCCACGATTTTCCGCAGGTTTGAAGTTCCCTTGGCTTGTTGAAAAAGCCTCCACTTATTTTGGATCATGCGATTTTTTGATAACGGCACACATTCACAGAAACTTATTGTTCATTATTCACTCGAGTACCATGTACACCTTTCTCTAAAAATTGAGAAAAAAAAGAACAGGGTGCAGCTAACAGATAGTCTAACATTAACATTTTTCTAAGTTTTACGCTTTTGTGCATGGCACACTTAATTCCAACAGGGCTTTTTAACCCAATTTCTACATACAATTTAAAAATGGAAATAATGAAAAATAGTCAGCCTATTTGACTAAAATTCAAATTCTTACGCATTTTATTTTATACAGTACTTCAAACCTGCGGAAAATCGTGGAAAAATTGGAATTCCGTTCGACAGAAAATCCGAATTTATGGGCGCCGAATGATGATGCTGTGTATTCNGGGGGGGGGGGGGGGGGGGGGGGGGGGGGCACATCTCACTTTGGGATACATTCTTGTCCAAATTTTAGGCAGGAAAATACAGGTGCATGGCTTACTCAGGACACATGGTCTCAACTAAAAATGGAAACAATGTATATACATGCAATCATGTACTTATGGAGTACCACTAACCCAGAAGAATAAGCATTTTTTGGTTCTTCAAGATAATATATTTGCATTGCTCCAAATTACAATGCATACACATTTAGGAATCCTTTTTTTCTTGAGAATTAATTTGAAAAATAATTATACAGTAATTTGAGTAAATACATTAGTTCCATTTTCATTAATTACTAGCACACTCAAGTAAGACTAGACAAAAACTGGGATTTTCAGTTTAAAATTTTCATAAAATCCTATCCACCAAGAGTAAGATGTACACCCCATTTCTAGTGACTCTCAAAAGACAATATTTCAAAAATAAGAATACCACAGTTAAATTAAGACATCAGTTGAACACAAATTTGACTAATTTTTAAATGTTTTCATTAAAATATGCATCTTTGTTAAACTTGGTCCAACATGTCCATTACAATTAAGTATAATGCACATCTAAATTCCTAAAACGTTTAGAAAAATTTGTACCAGCATACAACACACTACCAAAGTTTTCCTTTCAAATTTGAGAAAAAAGGTGCACTTGGTACTCAAGTAAACATGGTGCTTAAAATTATGTCGGTTTTACCGTTTTTCTCAACACACCACAGGACACGTAAATCCGCAGAAATTCCAAAAAACAGGAGACTACTGGTATTCCAATCAACCAGTATAAAACAAAATAAAGGGCGACATATGACAAAGAGCAGAATGCCACGGAAAATGAATCATACGCAGAGTTGCGCTCGTACGAAACGCTGGCAAGATGATCCATTTCGTTAAACAATGCAAGCAGCAGATAAAACCCCAACAAAAAACCACAAAATGCAAAAATTACCGAACGGTTCCTAACCGGGAATGAAGCGACGAGAGAAACCAGGAATTCCAAAAGCATCACAGCGAACCATAGAACAGCTTCCACAAGATTTGTTCGGTCAGCTTTCCCTGCCTCACAAATGTTCCTTCTTACAACATACCGCGAAACAAGGAATGACAAAAAACCCTGACCTTCACTTTGACAAAACGTGAGAAAAATGGCGTTCTTTTTCATTAATGCCGATCTAAGCAACAGAATCAACGACTTCTGAATGTACAGTACACGCAAAAAATACATATGCTTTTCTTTCCGGTCCTAACTTCCAGCCGCTTTTGAGGCAACCGCACAACCACGTTCACCGACTAGATTCCGGCCTTTGCAGCAGTGGGATTTAGTAAAGCTTTCCCCGTTCAAAATGTACACAACAGAAAAAGCACATAGTCAAAACAAAAGAGCCTAACCCATATTGCTTTTGATCAAAGTAAATGACCCCTAAGAACGATCCGAAGTGGATTATATTACACCAGAAATTCTTTCAGCGATCACGTATCCTCAAATTTCGAAGCCTTTCCCGCCATAGAGAAAAATCAGTGCTTTTCACAACGTTCAAAAATGTCAGGAATGTTCTAGTCGGCGGAAAAATGACAAAAATGATCTCAGGTGCTCAACAAAAAAAATGGTTAGATACACTGATGGTATGCATCCATTCTCCAAATGCATCTGAGAAACGAAATCGTGAAATCTGACCCGATTTCGCTCCCAGTCGAGTAATTTTAACCATATAGGACACTCTTCGCGAGACACATTATTCAAACTGCGCATTTAAAATGTTTACTTCATCGTTACACAATGTCTCATTTTCTTCACGCAATGCAGTTTCTAATCTTCGCAGATAGGTGCACATTTTGATCAAGAGTTGGCATAGATCATGTATTAATTTATATCCTTCATCTAGTTTTTTTTTTATTCACGCACTTATAATTTTGAAATTTGGCAGGAATAACGTCATTTATTTTACGTCAGAAAACATGTCGCTAATTTGTCTTTAACATAACTTGATTAACGAGGCGAAGGTACGCAGTCATTACCCAGATGATCGGATTTCTTGAATTCAACAGAAGATTTACTCAAGACATCCATGCAGAATCGTTCAGTTAAAAGGAAAAGAGCAAAGATTTCAGATCAAGCTAAAACTTTAATTTAGTGATTTTCCTACTTTTTTCAAGAGAACACAGAAAATAGCTCATTAGCATGGTGGGCTAGGAGCGAAAATACCGTGTTTACTCAAGTACCATGAGCAATTTTCAAGAGGAAAAAGGGGTGCGCGTCAAAGGTCAATATTCCTTTTTTCAAAAGTATTCATAACTTCAGGTATGCATATACTTGGTTCCATTGGGAAATTCTGGGCCAAGTTCGACAGAGAAACTTGAGAATTTGTCAAATTCAGGTTCAATTCATGTCTAAATTCAAATCTGGGTTGTTTTAACCTTAGAGTATTACAGTTTTGGAGTCCCTAAAAATGGGTTGCGCATGTTACTTAGTGATATTATTTCATCAAAATTGTTTACTGTAAACCCCTGGTGCGTGCCTTACTCCATGGCGCGTGGTACTCAAGTAAATACGGTAGATCAATTTTCACATAAAATAATTGGCGCAAGACAGATTATGCGGCAATATTGACAAAAATGAGGAAACCGAATCACTGGAGGATGCAATTTTTATCCCCGTCCTGTTCCTGTGAAGCAGAAGTCCCATTGAATTTCCCACGAGGCAAAGTGGCACTGAATCCAAGTCGTGTTGCTGGAGGCGGGTGATTTCCCTTAGCACGAAAACTAGCTCGACTAACATCAGCCGCAATTTCCTGCTCCTCATCCATCCTTTGTCCTTCTTCGTGCATTTGATGCACTAATAAATCGCGTTCGTCCACCAGTTCCACCAATTCCGCAAGTAACATTTGCTCACGTTCACGTTCATAATCCGTCTTCTGGTTTTCATCCGTACTGAACATTTCCCGGAGCTCTTGATTCAACATCTCGTATCGACGTTCCAGATTCTCTTCTTTCGCCATCACGTTCAGTTGCATTTGGCGACGCAACAGCGCGGATTTCTCGTTCACCAGGTTGAACCACTTCAGAAGCAATTCCTCTTCCTCTTCAGTAGCTAGGCCTTCCTCATTCTTCTTCATCACATTCCGCACCCTTTCTTCAAGTTTAGAAGCTTGTCGATCGATCTTCGCCTGCTCAAGTTCAATGGCTTCGGTTTCGCGTTGAATGTAGGCGGATTTACGCTGAGCTGGAGTTCCATTCGAGATTTGGAACGGATGATCGAAACTGTTTCCGTTTGGAAACGTCGGACGAGACTTCACCACAGTTGCAGAAGTAGTTCTTTTTGCTCCAGAAGGATCGAAAGAGGCAAGTTTCACCGGTTGGACTGGTTTGAAATCAGACACATTCAAAGAATCAGAGAGCGATTCGTTGCTCGCGACACTTTTGGTGGGTGATGTTGTTTTCTCTTCCGTCGATGCAGGGGCTTCGGGAGGCAATTCGCGATTGTGTTTCTTGTTGTACCTTCGAAGACTCGATCTCGGGTTCATGATTCTTGCGGGACTTTTCTTCTCCGGAGAAGTCGTAGCCACGTTCGAAATCTTTGATTTCGTAACGCTTCGGACAAACGGTGACGAGTTGGAAGCTGATTTTCGAGCATCCTCCAAAAGTTTCCTCGCGAGGCTTCGGTTGTCTGTAGGACCACTGGGAAGTTCATCAACAGACGAGCTCCCTTTCGCTTCTTTCTGCATGTTTCGAGCTCTCTCTCGGATCTGTTCTTGTCGAGATTTTGGTTTCTCTTCAAAACGACCGGATCCGGGAGAAACGTGGGATGGAGATTCTAGTCTTAATCCTTCAGGTGCTGTTTCAGAACGCTGTGGAGGAGTTGAATTCGATCTGAATGATGAGTCACCAGATTCCAAAAGTCTATGAGGACTGATGTTGTCGGACGGAGTCGAGGGTGTCGATCGTTGCGGTTCCGGGGCAGGTTTATCCTTCGAGGAACTTCGTTTCCAGCGCTTTTGGAAAAATTTCGCACTGAATTTTGCAAATCCTTTCTCTTCATTGTCCGATGACGATGAACGCCGAGCTTTTTCTTGCACGTGAACCGGCGAAATCTCCGGACGAGTTTCCGCATCAGGAGATTTTGGTTCAGATGTGGTCACTTCAGCAGCCGTTACAACAGGCTCCGATTTTTCAACTTCGAAACGAGCAGATTGATCGACGACAGATTTAACACGCAAACTTTCCCCAGTGAAATATGCCTTCACTTGATGTAAATACGTCATAACGGCAAGCTTGTCGGGAACAGCAAGAAAAACCATGTCTTCTGGCATGATCACGCGAGGAATTCCAAGTTTCTCCCCAGCCTCGAAAGCAATCTGACAATTAACTTTAGTTTCAGTCGGTTTCAATGAGTCGTAGTCGATTAA